CAATCTTTATTACAATATTTCTTTATTTCAACAAATGTATTAAGTATGAACATTTAGATCTTTTGGTATTATTATTAATTTATTTTATATTCTTAGTATGTAATAGATTTAGACTATAATTTAATTTTAAAATCTGTGTAAACTTAACTTCTGTAATAATTGAATTGCAACAATTCTTTTATAGAAAAACGTGTCTTTCTCTTCTAAATGATCGGCGTATCTCAACATTTTTTCTGCACGATCCAATATACTTGTATTGAGTAGAAACATTTACGCCATTTGGTATTATTTTTTATTGTTAGTGTGTTAGTATTTCTTAGAATATAAATATAGTAAATTAATTGGCAATATAAATTTGACCCAAGAAACAGCGAGGTTGACTAAAGGTGACAGCTTGACATAAGGAGACAGCTGTCATTTTAAGACCCATTAAAAAAAATAAAGTGACCTAATATTAGATTTTAGCTCATAGGTTGAGAAACATTGATATAGATTATATTATATTTAATTATAAAATTGAAATTACTTTATATGAATGTATGAATGTAAAATCATATTATTGTAAATGTAAATTATTCACAGAAAAATGTATAAGCAATTTCATATATATTCTTTATAATAAAAAAAACGAGACAATTATATTATACATTAAATCATTAAAATTGTAATGTAAATAAAAGAATAAAGTCTAGAAATAAATATTAAAAAAATATTAATTTGCTTCAATATATGTATTTTTTGTTGTTATTGTTATGCGTACGTAATTGTAATACAGTAATACGGTATAATTTTATTAAATTACGCATCGTTTACGCTGTAATAAGTACTGAATATCGATGAACTCGTATGAAAAGTTCCCTATAAAATATTCACGAATTGTAAATGTGAATACTGGAGCTTTTTCATTATTTATTCAGATCTTTATGCAGAAACGAGATCAACGAAATAATAATAAAATTAATCATATTTTATTGCATGATTGAACAATAATCTTACTTTATTTATTTATAAGTAAAAATTTAAAAACACTTACAGATTGGATACGATTTTTGCTTGTTTGTTAGAGGAAATCATATCTGAAATAGAAAAAATAAAATTTTAATACATTATAAATAATCTTATATTATAACACTTTACTCAATAAGTTCGATGACCAATAAAACAACAACTTTATTCATGAACATAGTTTCTATCAAGAGTGGCACATTTATACCAAAGCTGTAACATTTCGATACCTTTCTTGTACAACGATTTATCTTTGGCCTCAAAATAGGGCTTTCACCCTTTGCTGTCCACTCAGCTGATGACCGATTTGACTTTTGAGTTTAGTGGTGAATCTAGGATTCATTTATTGTTACATACATATTTGTGAAAACATGACTTTCTTGTCAACCAAAATACCAATAAAGTTTATATTTAGAAACATTACATGCAGTTCTTAGATGATCATTATATATTTTCCGTTTTAATGAATATCACAATGATGAAAACCTAAACAGCGACAATTTTCATTATTTTCAACCAGAAATATTCACTCTTCAAAGCGAAATTATCATGATTGATCTTTTCGTATATCTTTGCATCGTCTCCTAAAGCTTTACAGAAATTCATCTTAGATCTTTACATATATTTCAACTGAAATTGTCTTCTTGCATCAAACGCTGCGCAATATCATGCACAAGTTGCATATAATTTAATCTTATCCAAGACGTAAAAGTTTCATCGTATTATCAGACGAATCTCTGCAATATTGTTATATTTCTTTTATTATTAATATTATCGAAGTTCCAGTTAATATTGTAGAGACAAAAAGAATGAAATGCGAGCATTGCATTGCAATGCATCGTAAATATACGATGATTTAAAAATTGCGGAACGGATTTTAAATTGCACGTCGAAAATTGAATGGATTATATAAGTTTTTTTTTTGTTATGTCGATTTCCGTGCACTTATTTCTAATTTACTTCCATTTAATCCGGCGACTCGAATTGGCAATTGATCCGACCTTTATGGTCGCGAGTTTCGATAATTGAATTCGATTCGGCGCTCTTATATAAACGTTCTTTCTTTCTTTTTCTATTATTATTATTTTCTTCTTTTGTCGATTCTCTTTGTGCGTGTGTGTGTACCTCTGCTTATTCAAATTGCGTCGAGCGTAACGAAATTTCCCGAATCGATTCAAACGGATTCTTTCATATAATCAAGAATAAATTCGTTTTATCTGTTGGATTGAATTCAATCAACATTTGAAAAGTTTGTTTTTTTTTGTTAATTTTCAAGTATTTCTTCTAAAGCTAATTAGCTGCAATTTGTGTATGTTTAAGTTAAAAATTGTATATTTATAGTAAATTTAAATTTTATGCAAACTCAAAATGAGTGGATTCGCCGGGTGTTATCAACCATACTGTTTGTAACCGGACTAATCAATGAATTTAAAACGTATAAATAGGACAAAAAGATAATTGAGAACATAAAGGGACAAAAATGACCATGTATATTTGTTTTTATTTTTCTCATTTAAAATTTAGATAGTTTTGAAAGTTTCAAAGCGGATTATACTGAAGCCGCACTATTCGAAGTGTTTTTTATTTTAACAAGATTTACATGAGAAATCAGTCGCTTTATTTATAAGTCTTTATAAAAAGTAGATAAATCATAAATAGTTATAACGGGATTAATCCTATAACACGATTAATTAGTACCGTGTTACATGGAGAGCGTGTTTTAATGAGAATTTTGTAAATAAATAGATAAATTATTCATAGTTATAACGACATTAATTTGTACCGAGTTATAAAAAAAACTTCAATTCACTACAGTCAATCCTCCTATAACACGATTAATTGATACCGTGTTACATGGAAAACGTGTTTTATTGAGTATTTTATAAAAAAAATATATAAATATTACTTAGTTATAACGTGATTAATTTGTACCGTGTTATAAGAAATTTTCCTCTTAGTACAATTAATCATCCTATAACACGATTATTTACTACCGTGTTACATGGAAAAGGTGTTTTATTCAGTATTTTATAAAAAAAATAGATAAATAACACATAGCTATAACGTGATCAATTTTGTACCGTGTTATAAGAAATTTCAATTTAGTAAAGTCAATCCTCCTATAACACGATTATTTGGAACCGTGTTATATGGAAAGCGTGTTTTATTCTGTATTTTATAAAAAAAAAAATAGATAAATAACACATAGCTATAACGTGATCAATTCTGTATCGTGTTATAAGAATTTTCAATTTAGTACAGTCAATCCTCCTTTAACACGATTATTTGGAACCGTGTTACATGAAAAGCGTGTTTTATTCTGTATTATATAAAAACAGTACATAAATAACACTTAGTTATAACGTGAGTAATTTTGTACCGTGTTATAGGAAATTTCAATTTAGTACAATCAATCCTCATATAACACGATTATTTAGTACCGTGTTAGATGGAAAGCGTGTTTTTTTCAGTATTTTATAAATAACACATAGTTCGTGATTAATTTTGTACCGCGTTATAAGAAATTTCATTTTAGTACAGTCAATACTCCTATAACACGATCAATTGGTACAGTGTTAGATGGAAACCGCTTTATATATACAATATTCAATATTATTTTTGCGCATATGTTATTGAATTTTTTTTTTGTGTACATTCGTTTCAGCGAAACGGGATTTTCCATTAAAACAGTTTAATGCAAGTAAAAATAAAAAATGAAATAAAACAATTGGATAATATTCGATCAGTTTCAATGCAAATATCGTCCATTCGTTTTCATAAATATTACATTGGCAAAGTGAAAACATTCGGAAGGTTGAAAAATAATAATGCATACAAGCATAACGAATACTCGTTGCTGCATTTCGCGAACAAACAACAATTTTGTAGTGGAAAAAATTTAACAATTGATTATGTAATTGTTTTATTAATTAAGTAAAAATAACTAAGATTTAAATTCATAAAGAATTAATACCAATTTAGTTAATACATTTAGAATTTTTTTTTAATGAAATTAGAATATACATTAAAATATACAAGAAAAACTATCAATTATATCAATTGATTCGAAGTATTTGCTACAATTCGATACAAAGAGTTTAGTGTTAGAAAGTCATAGCTCGTTTAAGGTTACCTCTGATAACGAAGCTTAACATCCAAGAACTTAGAAATAAAGTTATCCAATCATTAGTTGCTTCAATCATTAGGTTTTGAATGTATCTATGTTTTTCAGTGAAAGATTTAGAAAACCTTGTTAACAATAAAGACAAAGAAAATGAAAACGAAATTAAAGAATTTATTGCTGAGAGAATGTTAACAAACAACGATATTAAAAGATGACTTTGAAAACGTGTTCATTTATTTTTATTGAAAATCATTCGATTTTATTCATAGTTGAATAAAATCGAAAAAAAGAACAAACAATCAACTTCATACTCACATTTTGAATGTGATTTCTCTTTGTTGAAAACGAAATTAACGATTAACGAAGTAATTTCATCATTTTTCATTTAAATTAATCTAATCAATTTCATGTACAAAATACTTAAGAACTTATGATATTCTCATTATAAATTTTCAAGGTATTCTAATAGGAGTAGTAAACAAACTATAACAAATTATTGATAAATCGGTTATAGAAATTTAATTAATTTCGAAATTTCGAAAATAATTAGTTATTTTCTCAATAAATTCTCAAGAAATATCAGTAATTTTGTTGAATAGTGAAGAATATGTCATGTGTATTTTGGAATTTGGCGAATTCTGTGTGTGGGTATGAGAGTAACGTAATGATTCCTTAATGCGTGCAGCGTGTAATTTTTAAATTAGTATCAAATTGGTATATCGGAATATGGGAGTTAATTGTCTATGAGACATTGATATGTTCCAATAACGATTGGAGTGAAGGAGGTTTTGTGGGTGTGTGGATTATATGGCCTTTATAGTATAAAAACCGGATGGGTCGGCGACTGAAGATCCAGTGGCTTGAGACTGCTTCTTGCTTGAACAGCATGTCAGTGCTTTATGGTGATATCATGGGAGAAAACGACGACACCAACAGTGACTTAAGCGACCAAGGAAGATTTCTCACCAAAGGTAAAACATTCACTTTTTCATTTCTATCATCCCTTTTTGTTCGCACGCAATCGATACGAAAATATACAAATTTAGTAAACAATCATTTCCTTTTAGTCTCTATTATTACCTTTCCTTATAATAAAACAATAATTCTATAGACCATCAACAAATTACTAAGAAAATGTAATTTCATTTAAACGCACTTTCATTTAATATTTATCAAATAAAACATCATATTTTCTCAATCCTTCTAAAAAAATTATATGGTTGTATACTCAGATTGTAACAAGTATTATTAATATATCCATTTTTTAATTATCTCACATTTGTGGAACGTCTTATAAACTTTTAACAATATTTAAATTTCTAATTTACATCTAAATTTCCATTATATTATCTTCAAATTAAGAAAAAAAATATATTTTTTCAAATTTTTGCAGAATTATTTTGAATACTACTAAAATGTAATTACTCAATTAAGTTAAACCAAGCAACGATTTGTTAAAGTACAATTTTCTACTAATTTATTATATTAATATTTCGAATATAACTCTACGTATATTTGTTTTTCTATTAAAAATTAGATTTATTTTTTCAACTGTTTTATTTAGCGTTTCTCAACTTTTTTGCTTTTCCCCGTTTTGACGCAAGGTGACAGTTGTCATTTCTTGACACATTCAAAATTTACACAATCAAATTTTGTTGAGCTATATTGTATGGTTTTCTACTTCTTTCTAATGTAATGTAAATTGTTTAATAAGATACAAATTTAAAAGTGAAGTTTAATAATAGTAGGAAATCTTCTTGAAAAACTGTGGAGTACATAATGTGTTTTATGCAGTAGCACTACAATTAGTAGTTAAGGTAATGTGTTTAAATAATACGTTTGTTATAACAAGACCGGAAACGATGGGATGTTTCGAAAAAGAAGAAGTTGTAACCAAAGTAGTTGGAAAGAGAGAGAGAGAGTATAAATGCAGATGTAATATTATACCACATAATTGCACTTCCAGTTCGAGTAAGCGTTTGATGACCCATAATAGCATTTAGAGCGTTATTAGGCACGCCATTGTTTATTCCGTTGCGGAATTAGTCCGCAATTATCTAGTTACATCATCTGCAAACTCCGCTACCAAAACAAACAAAAAACTGAAACAAAAACGATTTCCAGTATTCTTCTTCTCAGTTTACCATTTATGTTTTTTACATTTTTGTTTCTTTCAGTTAAATCTAATGCGCTTTGCGTTTCTTTTCTTTTTTTTTTGTTCTTGGCAGGGGCATTTCTTTTGACACCGTCGCATGACCTGAGTCTAGACAAGGCGGCCAACATCTGCGACAAACTGAACTTCCGAGGAAGTTTCAGCCTGACGAAAACTGCCACCGGGATATTGTTCAAGTTCTCCGAGCCGGAGGACTACCAGCAGGTCTTCCGGAAGGGATTCCATAAGGTGAAACGATCCGAGAACCGTGCATATAGCATTTCGTTCTTTTAGCGTCCTCTCTTCCTCCTTCTCCACCTATTCCATCTACTCACCCCCTCTGTCATATGAATTGCAAATTTTTCTTTTCCGATGGAAACGTCGTTTGTTTGTGGGCGTAACGAAAACTTTTCATCATCCGCTTAATGCTATTCACTTCATTAAATTTATTGAACCGTGCAACGAAACCAGTGTCTCCACAACATAATCAGAAAGACAATTTTGTTTTTCAAATTTAAAAATATAAAGTAATATTACAAACATATTTGTTTGTAGTTGCATTGCGCCTCAATTGTTTATTAAAAAAAAAGATATCAAGTAAGGCTATTTTACAAAAAAATGTTGCTACGGTTATGAGTTCGAAACTTAGACCAAATTCAATTGTTTTTGGGGAGGAGATTAAGCAACAATAAGCAGACATAATAACTGTTTGATTTTAGGTAACCGGTGGAAGATTATACAGAAAAGTGGCGATCCCTTGTAGACCTCAGAAAACGTTCTCCCTGTTGGTCCACGAAATACCTGTGGACCTACCAGAGGATGACATTAGAGCCAGTTTGTACAGATACAGCTCCATCGTAAGCAGTTGTTATTATTTAGCTTGTGAAAGAAGATGCGATCAAGACGTTTTAGGTTGAGGTGAGCCGTGTGTCCGTGAAAGTTGACCAATCACCGGGAACACCGAACCCGGTGCGCATAACTTTGGCATCCCTGGAGGAGTACAACAATCTTCTTCAGCAAGGACTCGACTTCTACGGCGCCACCTATTTCCCAACAGAACCATTCAAGAAGGAGATGCTCAGACAGAGCAAGGAGCAGCTGCTGCCCGTCTTCGATGCGGCCGGATTCACCAGACTGCCGCCACCGGCGAGCCGGACCCTCAAACCCCGATCGAATTAGAAGCGAAGCAACACATCTTCCACCGAGCCCCGATTTTAAATCAATCTAACGCGCGCACCGCACAGAAGATGCACAGAAGAAGCGAAATCGATATTTGCACATTAACCGTGCACCGATATACATACAACATGACTTAGTTTTGAATTTCTTTTGTTTATTTTACACACACCACTAGATTTGCATATTATTTTTTTCAAATAAAAAAAAATCAAACCCTTTGAAAATTTACCGACAGTTCAGAATCATGCTTTTCTTTCATTACCTAGTTTTTTTTTTTAATTTTCTTCTCCTATCCACATTTTTTTTTGTCGTCCGTCGCCAGACATGCCTTATCTCGAAATAAAACAGCTTATATCAAACAATGTTCGAGAAGATCTTTAGCGCCGGAGGCTTCATGATGACGGGGTGGAATATGAAAGGAATTTGTTAGTGGGTTGGCCACAGTTTTGGGGGAAAGCACCAGCAGAAGCGAAGAAAGCACAGAATATATAACGCAAAAAAAAATGTATGAATATATAAATCCATACATATATATATA